CGCGCTGGAGCGGCTGCGGCACCCGCGGAGCGCACGGCCCTCTGGTGAGCGCGGCGCCCACCGGCTCCGCATCCGGCCTGCTGCCCCCCATCCCGGCGGGTCCATGCCGCGCCCTGCCTGCTGTCTTGCCACCAGGCAGGGCCGGCCAAGACCCACGCGTGCCCGCTGCTTGTTGTCCCCATCGGGCGGGCCAGACCCGTGGGCGCCTTCCTTCTTGCTTTCCCCCAGCCCCATTAGGACCGACCGGAACCGCGCTTTTGCCCGCTGTCCCCTTTAGGGTGGGTGGGGCCGCTGCCCTGCCTTCTGGCCCGCCATTAGCATATCGGCGACCATGCGTGCCGCTCTGTCTGGAACTAACCCCCTAACCCACTAGGGAGCACACACAGCTTCAAAAAAGGGAAGCTTGAGGGCCTCCCCCTTCCACCCCGCCCTGGGGCGTTGCCGTGGCCCACATCACACTTATACTAACTGAAAGTCTTTCCGCTCCTGCTGCTGTGTGGATCTCCGACCCCCGCCTGAATCAGAACCCCTGCCTTCTGACTGGAGTTGGGGTCGGGGTGTACAGGACAGGTGACAGAGAAGGGAAAGTAGATCCTTCCTGGAAGCCGAATGGGGCAGGGCCATGAACAAATCTGACTGGTGACTTCTTGCCTCCTGCTTCACTTTCCGCAACTGGAAAATGGGGTTATTAATATAATTCTGGTTGGGTTTGTCTCTTAAGGTGAACCAGTTAATGAGTGTGAAGCCCTTGTGCCTGGCATCAGTGACCAGAGCTGTAGTTATTATTATCATTATTGTTGTTAATTATTGTTATGACTATTATCCTGGTTGTCGACTCAACAGTTCATTTGGGAGAATAGCTCTCGGCTGAGTAGTCAAACTAGATTCCTAAATATTCCCCTTTCCTCAATCTTGGATAATCCAAGCACACAGGTGGTGTTTAAGAAATGTTTGTTGAATGAATGAATGACCACAGCCCACTCTGAGGTGGGTTAGCTCATAGGAGAGAATCGTGGAAGGCGGGGCAGGGCTGTATGACATATGTTTTTATTAAATCACACATATTTAGTACCAAACATTGTTATAAGTTCCTAGATGCTCCCTAGTACCACATCATCTAAATGTGTTTTTCCAAAATTAGCTCACTTAATCCCCTTTATAGCCCAGTGAAGTGGGCCGTGTCCTCACCCTGTGTTACAGATGGGAAAACTGGGGCATGGATCAGGGAAGCATCTGTCTTGTCCCGGGCTATGCAGCTGAGACGTGGGATCCCTTGTGGTCTCCCTGCCGCCTGTCTTGCCTCCGTCTCCCTAACTTCGCTGACAGTCCCGCTCCATTTGCAGGGTGGCCACGGACCACAACTCAGACAAAACGTCAGCAGTACTTCGGGAATGGCTGGTGGCCGTGAAGAGTTTGTACCACTCTGTAGAGTGGCGGCCAGCCGAGGAACCCAGGTGAGCATCAGGCCTTGCCCTGACCCCCGCCCCCAGTTGGACTCGACTATACCCCTGCTCACACACTCTCCATGTCTCCCCATCATCCTGGGACAGACCCCAGCCCCCAGCCCCTGATGTTCCAGCCCCACTCTGCAGCCTTAAGCCCGGGCTCTGACGACTCTGACCCCAACTCATCTTCACCAATGGGCCGTAATCCTCACTCCAGACCTTTGCCCCCATTGTTGGCTCCACTGGGAATTCCTTCGCTCTCTGGTCTTTCTGGTGGACGCCCACTGCTTTGTTCCCTGTGTCACTCAGCCCTGGCACCAGCTCTGCTGCTTAGCTACCCCATGAGCCCCAGGCAGTGTGGACCCTTGTTTCCTTTCACTCTTTCAGAATTTATTTCTGTTCCCACCCACTGCCCAGATCAGGTTAGGAGTCTGGAAGGACAAGCTTCAAGTTTTCTTCTGCTCTGTATCTTCTCTCCCAGTGGCTCCCCCTCACCCTTGGGGATGTCCTTGCAAGTCAGTAGAGGCCCCTTCCCCCTTCTCCAAACTTTCTTCCTCTCTGGGCTTTTGCACATGCCTTACCCCCTACTGGGAACAGACCTCCCTCCTCCTGTTTTCTCCTTGCTTCTTCCCATCCTTCAGATCCAGCTTATACCTCCCCTCCTCCAGGAAGCCCTCTCTGACTAACCCACATGCAGCCAGCTCGGGCCCTCTCTGGGCTCCCACAGTGCCCTGGGCTTCCCACATCATAGCTGCCTCTCCACAGGTCCTACCCAGATGAGGAGGGCCCCAAACACTGGTCTGACTCACGCTATGAGCACGTCATGAAGTTGCGCCAGGCAGCCCTGAAATCAGCCAGGGACATGTGGGCCGATTACATCCTGGTGAGTTTCTCAGCCAGCCAGCCCATGGATCCCAGCGGAACGTCTGGGGTGTCCGAGGGGAGGCGGAGCAGTGGGATATGGAGACCAGCCTTAACCCCATTTTCCAGTGGGGGAAACTAAAGCTCTGAGAGAGGGAGTGAGTTGTCAGAGGTGACACAACTGGTTAGTAGAGGAGCTGCGTTTTGATCCCGGGTCACCTGGGCTCTTAATCATCAAGAGGAAACGGGCTTTTGTGTCCCAAGCCAACCCCTGTGGTTGGACACTTGGGTCACCTCCACTTTGATCACCACCACCAGTGATGCAAGATCTCAGCGCAGGTCACCCTGAGAAGCAGGAGGATTGAGGCAGGGGCACGGAGATGTTAGCGACACTGAGATGCTGAGCCCTGACTTTCACTTCCTCCTCCTGGGCCCCTGGGGAGAAGGGGCCGGTTGAGGTTTGGAAACAATAATTTTGGGATACATGCCCACAGGTTATGAGTCTTCTGTGGGCTCCATCAACAAGTCCCCTTGACCTGGGCGTGGGGAGGGCATTGACAGCTGGGCGTGGCTTCAGGTGGGCCTGGCTCACCATGGAGGTCGAAAGCCTGCCACCTCTGCCTTTGTGGTCCGGTTGTCATTGTCGCTTCTCCTTATAAGATCATCAGTTGTTGGATATAGGGCCTGCCCTAATCTAGTGTGACTCCGGGTTAATTTACATCTTAATTACATCAGTAAAGACCCTATTTCCAAATAAGGTCAGTCACAGGCACGAGGGGTTAGGATTTCAACATGTCTTTTGTGGGCAGGGCTACCATTCAGCCCACAACAGATGGCATCACCAGGGAAAGGGAACGAGTGAGCCAGGGTCGGGGCTGCCCTTAGGAGGAGGCCCTAGCAGAGATCGGAAGGAGCGAAGGAGCTAGCCTTACTAGGGGCTGGGGACCAGTGTCAGAGGCAGAGGGAAAAGATCAGGGAGCCAGCTTGGGGCATTCAAGGACTAGCGAGGAGGCCAGCATAGCCAGAGTGGAGCGATGGAGGGGGAGATGCTGAAGTGGTGGGTGGGGACCAGACTCCGCAGGCCGAGGGAGGGATGTGGCTTTTACTCCGAGGGTAATGGGGAGCCATGGAGGGTGTGTGAGCCAGGAAGGACTCGGTTCTGATTCTGGATTTTCAGAAGCTCCTGTTGCTGCTGTGGGGCGCAGGGCCTGTCAGGGGCAGCAGGAGGCCAGGGTGGGAGTCTGGTTGGAGCTGTGGGTTCCAGATGCATTCTGAGGCCAAGAGGACAGGCTCTGCTGTATGTGTGTACCAGAAGGACCTCATACCCTGGCCTGAGCCCTCTGGGGAGGACAGAGCCATTTCCTGGGAGGAGGAAGGATGGAACAGGCTCCTCCTGGGAACCCTGTGAGTTGGTGCCTTCTCAGAGCGTTTTCTAGATGGTAAAGTGGAGACTTAAAGAGGAAACTGACAACCTGTTGGGTGGAACTCAGAACCAGTGAAGCACAGAGGTGGGACTAGAACCTCCCAGAACCATCTGGCCCGGGGCCACCTTGTCTGCCCCCTTGGGTTTTGCTTTCATGGTTGGAGATTAGCTGGTTTTCACTTTCTTCCCTCAGCAAACCTGGGTGGAACTCAAGGGTTTGGTTCACAACTCAAAGCAGCTTTTGACACACTGATCTATTTTTGTAACCGGGGACTTTGGAAATCCATATTGGAATGCGAAATTGTCTGGTGTTTTAAAATTATGATTAAGAAGACCTCTTTTTTTCTCTTTTTATGAACGCGGTGGATGTTACTTGTAAGAAAATAGATGAGAAACAATAAGAAGCTTAGAAAAGGGAAAAAAAATAGAAAACGACCCAAACCTTGTAATCTTACCTCTCAGAGAGACTCAGGCTTTGGCTGTGCTTTTTAATTGAGGTACAACTCACATAACATAAAATTAGCCGTTTCAAAGTGTACAGTTCAGCGGCACTTAGTGTGTTCATTGTGTTTTGCAACCATTTCTATCTGGTTCCAAAACTAATTTCCATCAGCCCGAAAGGACACCCAGTGCCCATGAGCAGTGACTCCCTGTTCCCCTCCCCAACCCCTGACAACCACCAGTCTGCTTTCTTTTCCTGTGGATTTGCCTATTCTGGACTTTTTACCTAAACAGGATCATACACTGTGTGGTCTGACTTCTTTCACTCAGCCTGACGTTTTCAGAGTTCATCTGTGTAATAGCGTGTGTCAGGGTGCCACTCCTCTTTATGGCTGAATAGTACTCCATTGTGTGGTTGGACCTACATTTTGTTTTTCCACTCATCTGTTGGTGGCCACTTAGGTTGTTTCCACCACTTGGCTTCTGTGGATAATGCTGCTTTAAACATGATGGTCACGTATCTGTTCAAGTCTCTGATTCCAGTTCTCGTGGTCGGTAACTGGGGTGGAATTGCTGTAATTCAATGTTTCACTTTCTGAAGAACTGCCAGCCTGTTCTGGCTGTTTTCACTGCATGTATATTCCTAGGTCGCAAATTTAAGTATCCACAGGGACAGGGCGGGATCATAACATGACTGCAGGGCTTGTCCCAAGGGGCAGCCACCTCCTGCCTCCAGCTGGGGCTTGCCGGATGAGAAAGCCATTCCCCTGGAGAAGGCTGGAATTCTAGCTTTTGCTATTGTTTATGGCAAGTGATTCAAACGTTTCTCAAAACCCTGCATGGATAGCAGAAAGCCTATCTATGGGCCAGACACATTAAAGAAAAAAGAACCCGCCTCCTGATAGTTCTGTGATATATCTTGCCCCACATGTTTTCACATCCCGGTGGACAGAACATCCTTACCTAGTGGTTTGCTGTGGCACGATTTTCAGTTGTTGCGGCTCATCCTGCAGCAGGGCAGGGCGAGAATTTCTCTGGCTGATTCTCCACTGCTAGATTCCAGGGTCATTCCTCATTTGTATGATGAATAGCCCAGCTGTGAATATCCTGGGGTGGCCTTTCTAGAAGGTGTTGGTGACACACAGTTTGAAGGGACCAGCAGGCATCTCCCACCATGATGACCTGGTTCATGGGTTGGGGAATTTCTTTCCAGGCTGCAGCAAACAAGTTATTTTTTTTCAACCCTAACATTCAAGGTATTAAAGAGAGAGAGGGAAAAAAAGCCTTATTAAAGACCCCATCTTTATGAATTTTTATTGGCAGTTAACTCACATAGGAAAAGGTGTGTTCCTCCTGGTCCCTCCCCGCAGAGGTAGATTCCGCCCCAGCCATCCTCCTCACTCAACCAGCACTGCCCGTCTTAAAAGTTCCCACAAATGGAGCCTCACATGGTGCATCTGGTGTCATTTCTGATGCCTCACCAGCGCTGTGTCTGTGGGATTGAGGAACCCACATGTATTGCTTCATGTTGTGTGGTCCATCCCTTTTCTTGCCATGCAGTGTATTTCATTGTGTGAATGTAACCCCGCCGGTTACTAAGGGGAGAGCTGTCCGTTGAGGAGCCAGGTGGCATCCTGGGCCGCAGGTGCTATTCCAGGTTCCCCAGAGCCCCAGGACTCTTGCCTCTGCCCCAGCTGTTCCAAGCTGTGGCCTAGCCCGGGTTACTCCGGTGGTGGCCCATGCTGACCGTGTGTTGGGTGTTTTGCAGTTTGTAGACGCGGACAACCTGATCCTCAACCCTGACATGCTGACCCTGCTCATCGCTGAAAACAAGACGGTGGTGGCCCCCATGCTGGATTCCCGGGCTGCGTACTCCAACTTCTGGTGTGGGATGACTTCCCAGGTCAGGGGGCTGCCAGGGTAGGGCAGGGGCCTGAGGGTGGTGGGGGCTGAGCCGAGCAGGTAAGGGCTGGGGCTGGAGTCTAACTTCTCATCTCACTGCCTCCTTGTGAACATTAAATAAACACCATTGTGCTAATCCTTAAAGAGCCCCTCGAGATGGGATCTCCATTGTGTGCTCTTCCTTCCTAATCCCTCCCATCTTCACCCCTGTTACTGAGGCAGAAACACAAAGAGAGGAAGGGACTTCCCTAAGCAAACATAGCTAGGGGTGGTGGTACCAGGACAGAGCTTCAGACATGGCTTCAGGCAGATGTGCAAACAACATTCCTCTTCTATGCCTTGGAAGGCTTCACTTTCAGACTCCTGGGGAATGATTCCAGTAGCATTCAGCCAAAGTCCACTCTGATTGAGCCTTGTCCAGTCTCCTCCTACTCCTGAACCAATTACTGAAGCCAGGAAAATGCCAGGCTCTGATTATCCCACCCCAGGGTTGAGGGTGGGGTTGCAGGCAAAGCCAAGGGGAGTGACGGGTGGGTGCTGGAGCAGGGCTGTGCCAGGGGAAGGGGGCTGGGTGGCTAGAGCCTGGACGTTGACCCAATCTGTCTCTTCTTATCTTTTTTGTTTTGAATTGATGTGTAATTCACAAAATATAAAATTCACCATTTTAAAGTGAATAATTCAGTGGTTTCTATATTTTCAGTTTTGTCATCTTATATGCTAACAATTCCAATTTGTAAAGGCTATGAGAAAGAGAGAGGACAACTCTAGATTGTTCCAGAAGCTTTTAAAACCTATCTTCTAAAAGACCCCCCCCCACTTATTGGAAGTCACGCTTCTGATGTTTAATTTTTAAAATCAAAAAATCTCAAATGTCCAGTCCCTTTTTCAGCTTTTTAATTTCTTTTCTCAAATGCTGCCTTTCTGATCAGAAGTGTTGAGCTGGGTCTGCGAGTGACTTTCCCTGTGTTTCTCTGCCATTGCCCAGCGACTGAGGCTCTAGGGTAGGAGACTGGCCTTGCCCAGAGCCCTGTGCTCAGTGAATGCCCACTGCACCCAGAAGCTGGCACTCAGGCCTTACTCCCCAGGTGTTCCATGCCTCCCATTGACCCGGGCCTCCAGCTTCACTTTTGGGAACCCCCATGCAGAACTCCGCCCCTCTCCCCACAGGGCTACTACAAGCGCACGCCCGCCTACATCCCCATCCGCAAGCGGGACCGCCGGGGCTGCTTTGCAGTTCCCATGGTGCACTCGACCTTCCTAATTGACCTGCGGAAGGCGGCATCCAGGAACTTGGCATTCTACCCTCCCCATCCCGACTACACCTGGTCCTTCGACGACATCATTGTTTTTGCCTTCTCCTGCAAACAGGCAGGTGAGCCCACGGGATTTGCCATCACGGGATGTCTGTCTGGTTGTTTGGGACCAGTGCTGGGCCCACACAAACTTCATAGAACCAGAACTGCAGGCTGCAGGGATGACTTCAGGTGTAGCTGTATCCAGGTGTTCAAATGATGTCCCCAGGACCCATTCTCTCTCCAGCTGTGGCTTTGCTGGGTGGCTTCACTCCCCAGGTCTTTAAGATCTACTTATTGAAGGTTATTTCCATTATGATATTTTCCTGTATTCTCCCAATTATCTGTAGTTGAGCATAATTGTTTCCTAATTGTATAATTAGAGGGAAAGAACTTTAAAGAGAAAGAAAATAATAGCCATTTATTGAACTGTCATTTATTTTAAACCACAGGTCAACAAACTATGGCCTATGGGCCAAATCTGGCTCACCATCTGTTTTCATACGGCCATGAGCTAAGAATGTCTTTTGGGTTCCTGGACCCAGTTCCTGTCTCTGTGTTCTTGGCAGGTTGGGGGTGGGGGAGGGTGTTCCCCATATCGGGAAGCAATTCTCAGACACCAGCAGGGTATCTGAGAATTCGCCTCAATTCTAACTCCGTTCTGACTCTTATCTACTAGGAGATAGCATCAGATTCCACAGATTAAAGGCTCAGTCTTACAAAACTGCCCCCTCCTCCCAACTTCAGATGCTGATGCCGGTCACAGGTCCAGGTTCTCATCTGTGATTCTGAGCAAATGGCTATAAGTCAGAAGTTTCCGTGACTCCTTCCTTGGGTTCTGCTAAATTGCTAGAGCAGCTCACAGAACTCAGGAAACCCATTTACTCACTAGATGACTGTTTATTATAAAAGGATATAACTCAGGAACAACCCAAAGGAAGAGATGCACAGGGCAAGATGTGTGGGAAGGGGTACGGAGCTTCTGTGCCCTCCGTGGGCATGTTGTTAAGCTCCCAGCACTTCCACGTGGTTACCAACCCAGAAATTCTCCAAATCCCATCCTTTTGGGTATGGAGGCTTCGTGACATAGGCACAGTTGATCAACTCATTGGCCATTGGTGATTGATCAGCCTTCAGCCCTCTCCCCTCCCCAGAGGTCAGGGGGGTGGGACTGAAAGTTTCAACCCTCTAATCTCCTGGTTGATTCTCCTGACAACCAACCCCCGTCTTTAGTGTGTTCCAAAGTCACCTTACTAACATAAGAAGCACCGTTAAGCTCTCATCACTTAGGAAATTCCAAGGGTTTTGGGAGCTGTGAGCCAAGAACTGTGGATAAAGACCAAATATATATGAGAAATAAGTTACAATATCACAGAATGGTTTTCCCAGTTTTAAATGGTTAGAAAAAAACGAAAAGAAGAACAGTATCTTGTGATACCTAAAAATTACATGAAATTCAAATTTCAGTGCCCGTAGATGAAGTTTTATTGGTACTCAGCTACGCCTATTAATTTAAGTATCATTTATGGCTATGTTCACATTCCCAAGGCAGAACTGAGTCATTGAGACAGAACTGTTTGGCCCACAAGCCTAAATATTTACGAGCTGGCCCTTTCATGAAAATTACTTTCATTGAGTTTTTCACTTGGTAAAAAGATCCACACTCATAAAAATTGAAGCCATTCGGAAAAGGGCACACACAGACAGAGGTAATGTTACTAACTTTTTGTCCAGCTGCATCTCCTTTTTGTGCATAAATGTGTATCTTTAAAAAAATTAATTTCTTCTAATTGAAGTATAGTTGATTTACAATGTTGTGTTCGTTCCAGATGTACAGCAAAGTGATTCATATATATATATGTATATATATTCTTTTTCAGATTCTTTTCCATTGTAGGCTATTATAGGATATTTAATATAGTTCCCTGTGCTACACAGTAGGTTCTTGTTGTTTGTCTCTATTATATACAGTAATGTGTAAATGATAAACATGCATCTCTACCATTCACCTGCTGTTTTGAGATTTGCTTTTTCATGGAATCCTGCAGGGACTGAGTCAGTACCAGTGCCAGACATTTGTGAACAGTTCTGGAGTTTTTTTTTTTATCATCCTGCCTGGCACTGTGAACCCCTGTTCTGGCTCCAGTTCCCAGGTGAAACACCGAGGGATCTCTGCCGGTTGTTGGGAACAGCTGGACCCATTTATGCTCCGGCCCCACACTGGGATGTGAGACTCATGCTGCTCTTTGGAGGTTGCCTCTGCTTCCTTATTGCTCTGTTTGTAATTTCGATTGTTGTTTCCTTGGCCCCAGAGGTCCAGATGTACGTCTGTAACAAAGAGGTGTACGGCTTCCTGCCGGTGCCGCTGCGGGCACACAGCACCCTCCAGGACGAGGCCGAGAGCTTCATGCACGTGCAGCTGGAAGTCATGGGTGAGTCTGCCTGTTCCACCCTGGGAGGGCTGGGTCGCCTCCCTTTCCCTGCTGTCTTGCATCTATCAATGAACAGTGACTGAGTGCCTGCTGGGTGCCAGTGTCTTTGCTGGAAACTGGAAACCTGGCCTGAACAGGTAGACGGTTGTCCCTGCTCCGACAGAGTTCTGGCTTGCAAGCAGCGGTGCACAGTTGCTTGGGGAAGTCAGGGGCTTTCCAGATGTGGCGTTAAGATGTAGGCTGAATAGCAGTTCACCAGAAAGAGGATTGCAGCCAGAGGGAGCAGCACGTGCAAAACCCAGGAGGCTGGAGGGGCTGTGAACTCAGGAGACAGGCGAGGTCAGCGGGGCAGAAGTGGGGCTGGTGAGCGGGCAGGGCTGGTAGGCAGAGCCAGGGCAGGGGCCTCAGACACTGGGCTAAGGAGTGGGCCTTTTCCCTGGGGCCAGTCAACAGCCAGAGTGGGTGTGGGAGCAGGGAGGACCTCAAGTGTCACTGATGCCACTTCATGTGCATGGCAGCCTCTGGGACATTGCCATTTCGGGCCATTTCCTTATCCATGCCATGCCAAACCCCAGCCCCACAATTGTTTGTTTAATATTCAGCTTAAAAGGACACTTTTTTTACTTGAATACTTTTATGCTATTCTGTTCTGTTCTATTCTATTCATTTTATTCTGTTTTATCTTATTTAAATGGAGGTACTGGGGATTGAACCCAGGACCCTGTGCATGCTAAGCATGCACTCTATCGCTGAGCTATACCCTGCACCCCTCCATTTATTTAAAAAAGGAAACTACATATTTTTTTTTACTAAAGTTGCAAGCTCATATCTTCCTAATACATATACACATAAATCCATAAACTATTAAACTAGCAGCTGTCCCTGTGATGGTCCCTGAGATGGACTGAGTGCACAGGGCTCAGCTGCCATTGAGGTTGTCTGAAGAGGGGGCTTCTCCTGCCCTGGGTGAGGGTCTCTGGAGCAACCGGATGGTGGTACAGCGTCCTCTTCTGTGGGGGCCTGGCCCTGGGCTGACCACCCACATCCCTGTGAAGGCCTGTGAAGCAGCACGGCCATCCCTCCCACTGCACAAACAAGAGAAACTTGGAGACCCAGGCTTCTGCCCTGGGGGCTCAGTTTCCCACTCTTCTCTGTTTCTAGAGGGTTCTGTCTATGGTTCCCCCTTGTGGCTGAAGATAAAATGACACCCTTCCCTCTTGGTTTTGAGGGGGCTTTGGGGGCCTTTTGAGGTGACAGTTGGAAACTGCAAGGCCACCAGGGTGAAGACCCGCCCATGACACCCACGTGTCTGTTGCATGTAGATGCCCGGGCCCAGCCCGGCAACCCCACCAGGCCGTAGTCGCAAGAGGTGGGTTTCTGCTTGTTGCCAACTCCCACCGGCGACTGGACCCTGTGAAGCCTCTCCATGGCTGTTGTGGTTTTCTCCTCACTTAAATTTTCACATGTATTTCAGTTGTTATTTCTGGTCAGGAAGCCATGCTGCTGTTATAAACTCAAACACACAGGCATGCGTATTTTCCCGTTTCTCAAGGGCCAGAGCAAAGCCCATAACACAGACAGAAGGAGGGTCTGGAGGTTCCAGATATCTGTGTAGATCCTGCCTTTATGCTCCAAGAGCAAACCGCCTTTCCTCTCCACCTGTGTGTGGGTTCCTGGTCCCCGGCCGTGCATGTGATTTTTCATGCGTTCAAAACCCTTTCATATGATGAAATCTCAAACTTACAGAAAAACTTGGAGCGATGCCCTCTGCGTATGGGGAATCCAGCAACTTGCTGCCTTCCCTACCTGCTCACGACCGTGGGGTGTCTGTCCCAGTCAGCCCCGCAAACCCAGCTGAGGATTTATCCTCTTCTTTGAGTTTCAGCACTCACAGTAGTGACAGGTCATGCATGTGCAACTTACTGATTGCATTTTTTGTGTATTATTTTTGAAACTGAAGTATTGTAGATTTACAATTAGTTTCAGGTGTACAGCATAGTGACTCAATTACTTACATATATATATATATATACACTTTTTCATTATAGGTCATTACAAGATAGTGAATATAGTTCCCTGTGCTGTACAGTAGGGCCTTGTTGTTTGTCTTGATTGTTTTTAAATCCTTGTCTCCAGACACAGGCCAGACCCTGGCCCTCCCCGGGGTCCCCCACTGCCCTGATTCCACCAGCTGACGGGTCATTCCTGTCTTGCGCTTCACATCCCTGGAGTCGCACAGTGTGCTGCTCTAGTGAGGGGTCTTCCGCTCAGCATCCCCGTCTGCGCTGTGCTGCTGTGTGTGACTGTGGCTTGTCCCCTTGTCTTGCTGCATGATATTCTGCGTAGACGTTCAGCCACAGATTTATTCACTCTTGGCTGTGTCATATGTCACTTTACCGGTCTTCTCCTGTGGGGCATGGAGGGCACTTCCTGTTTTTCTCAGCATTGCCTTGAGTTTCCCGGGCACTCGTGTGAGAGGGTTCTAGACCTGCATCAGTGGGTGCAAAGTTAGAAAATATCCACAAGATTGCCCTCACTTCTTAACACCAGTTGCAAAATCATGGGTCTCTAAGACCATGCTCAGGTTTGATGATTTACTAGAAGGACTCAGAACTCACTGGAAGCTGTTATACTCACAGTTACAGTTTATCATAGCAAAAAGACACACATTAAAATCAAAGGGAAAAGGTGCACGGGGCAGCATCCAGGAGAGTTTCAAGCAAAGAGCTTCCAGTTGTCCCTTCCCAGTGGAGTCACGTGGACAAGTGCTTGCTTCTCCCAGTACCAATGTGTGATGACACACATGGTGTACTGCCAACCAGGGATGCTCCCTGAGCCTCTGCGTCCAGGGTTTTCACTGGGACTCACACATGCAGACACAGCGGACTGCCGCGTGGCTGACCTCCACCTCCAGCCCTTGCAGCTGATACCAAGTAGCCCAAGACCCCCACTCTAAATCATACTGCTGGCATAGATACCCAGTGTGGCCCAAGGCCTGAGATAAACAAAGACACTTTCCAGGTAGGACATTCCAAGGGCTTCAACGTCCCTGGAGCTAGAAGCAAAGGCCAGACCCCTCTCTCTTTTTTTTCAGTTGAAGTTTAGTTGATGTACAATATTGTGTTACTTTCTGATGTACAGAATAGTGATTCAGTTTATATATATATATATATATATATGTGTGTGTGTGTGTGTGTGTGTGTGTGTGTATATATGTATGTATATGTATATATATTCTTTTTCATTTTAGATTGTTACAAGATATTGAATGTAGTTCCTTGTGCTATACATTAGGACCTTGTTGTTTATCTATTTTATATATAGTAATGTATATCTGTTATCCCAGACTCTTTAATTTATTCCTCCCCCACTTTTCCCCTTTGGTAACCATAAGTTTGTTTTCTACATCTGTGAGTCTGTTTCTGTTTTGTAAATAAGTTCATTTGTGTCATTTTTTAAGATTACATATATAAATGATATATGACATTTGTGTTTCTCTGTCTGACTTACTTCACTTAGTATGTTAATTTCTAGATCCACCCATGTTGCTACAAATTATTTCATTATTTTTTATAGCTGAGTAGTATTCCATTGTATACATATATCAATCATCTTTACCCACTCATCTGTCGATGGACATTTAGGTTGCTTCCATGTCTTGACTATTGTAAATGGTGCTGCTGTGAACACAGGGGTGCATGGATCTTTTTGAATTAGAGTTTTCTCTGGATATATGCCCAGGAGTGGGATTGCTGGATCATAGGGTAACTCTATTTTTAGTTTTTTAAGGAATCTCCATACTGTTTTCCACAGTGACTGCACCAAATTACATTCCCGCCAACAGTGTAGGAGGGTTCCCTTTACTCCACCCTCTCTGGCATTTATCATTTGTGGATGTTTTAATGACGGCCATTCTGACTGGTGTGAGGTGATACCTCAGTGTAATTTTGATTTTCATTTTTCTGATAATTAGCAATATTGAACATCTTTTCATGTGCCTGTTAGGCCAGACCTCTCTTGGGTCAAGTTCAATTCTTCACCCGACGGTGGGTCTAGGGGAGTTACATTTTTAGAATCGCTGTGCCATGGCTCTCTGGAAAGGCTGCACTGTGTTGCTCCTTCTGGACCCTAATATGCTCCATTTTCCCAGAACTGATAAGAAAGGGTGACAAGACCCCCAGCCTGCACAAGCAGGTCCTTTCATCCTCCACACCCCAAGGGGGCAGGCAGAGACTGAGAGAGAGAGGGAAAGGGCATCTGGGATTTGAACCCGGGGCCTCAGCTCTCAAAGCCTTGCTCTTGGGTCCCAGGCTCCCCTGAGGAGGGAAGGGGGTGGTCAGGAGCTGTGAAGGGCCCTGGATAGGAGGAAAGCCCCAGTGACAACGTCCCTGGGGAGGGCCCAGGTGGCGAGGTAGGAGGGGCCAGGTTGGCTCTGGGCCTCACCCAGGCCTCTGCCAGACAGAGGGGCCTGTGTCTGTTCTTCTAGCTCACACGGGGCCTTTGTTCTTGGGGAGACGGAGGCCACGCTCACCGTCCTGCTGGGCTTTTCTGGGCCAGCCTGGCAGACAGCCCAGAGCCTCACCAGGTCATAGCCCCCTGTGGATCTGATCCTTCTGTGGGAAGCCATCAGGGAAGTGCCCAGACAGGGCCCGGGGATGTGATCTGAGCACTGTGCACAGCATCTAAAAGGGGAGCAGTCACGACCACCCTGAAATTCCTGGCATACCTTGGCTGGTAGACATGTCCCTCCGGGCACATGGCCATCTTCTCCCTGTGTGTCTTCACACCGTCTTCCTTCTTTGTGTGTCTCTGTATCCAAATGACCCATTTTTATAAGGGCCCCAGTCATACTGATTAGGGCCCTCCCTCCACTGACCTCATTTGAATTTGATCACCTCTGTGAAGGTCCTATTTCTAAATAAAGGCACATTCTCAGGCACTGGGGGTCAGGACGCCAACATAGCTTTTCGGGGAGGACACAATTTAACCCATAACAATGTGTGATTTCATCTTTTCATGAAATAAACGGTGCTTATTAGCCTATTTTATAAACGAGGAAAGTCACTTCTTTGCTCATTCTGTGAGCGTGTACCTAGCTCTGTGTCTGGTGCTGTGGAGCCAGTGTGAGTGGACAGAGTCGGTATCCATTCAAGCTCATGGGAGATGGTCAGGGAGCTGGGGAGTTAGGAGAGCAGGGTGAGGCTTTGATGGAAGCCCAGGCGCTGTGGGGGCCCAGAGGAGCTAACTGACTCAGCCTGGGGAGCTCAGGAGACTTCTCTGCCCTCCCCACCCCAAGAAGGCAACTTAGCTAAGAACTCAGGCAGGAGGAGGACAGCAGAAGGAAGGGTATTTCAGCAAAGGTCCAGCGTGTGCAAAGGTCCGGAGGTAGGAATGGGTGATGGGGTGAGTCTGGAGTAGGGCCGACAGACAGAGTGAGTAGGAAGTGGAGGAGAGAGACTAACACTGACATTGTGGGTAGGGCTGGATCAGACAGGGCCTCCAGTACCAGGCTGAGCAGCTCAGGGTGACAGGAAACCATGCTGGGGCTGGGGAGGTGACATTGGGAAGAGGCTGAAGCCTCCCACCCAGTGACCCCAGTGACCCCTCGGCTTCTCTCTGCCCGGCAGTGAAGCACCCACCAGTGGAGCCCTCGCAGTTCATCTCGGTGCCCACCAAGACCCCCGACAAGATGGGCTTTGATGAGGTGGGCCGGGCTTTCCTGGGAGGTGAGGATGGGGGCAGGGGCCAGCCCAGAGGGTCCAACCGAGGCTCTGGGCCGCAGGTCTTCATGATCAACCTGAAGCGGCGGCAGGACCGGCGGGAACGCATGCTGCGGGCGCTGCAGGAGCAGGAGATCGAGTGCCGGCTGGTGGAGGCTGTGGATGGCAAGTGAGTTGGGGCCCAGTGGGGGAGGGGTGGCTCCGTGTGTGGGTGTAGACCACGCTGGTGGGGGTGCTGGAGGGACTGGGAGTCTGACCCTGCCAGGGGGTGCTGGCAGGTCTGCGCATGCGCATAATCCACGCCCTGGCTGGCCTGGCCATGTTGGGTCCTGGCAGGGTGCCAGTGGTGAAAGAGGGAAGGGAGCACTAATGATGGAATCCCAGACAGAGAGCATCTTCCACTGACCCCCTCCTTTTTCCTCTTGCAGAGCCATGAACACCAGCCAGGTGGAGGCACTGGGCATCCAGATGCTGCCCGGTTACCGGGACCCCTATCACGGGCGGCCCCTCACCAAGGGCGAGCTGGGCTGCTTCCTCAGCCACTATAACATCTGGAAGGAGGTGGGTCCTGCAAGGGAGCTACTTAACAGCTCGTGTGAGGGAATCACCAGCATCCCAGGCAGGCTTCCAGAAATGCAGCAGGACACAGGGCCTGACTTCAGTGAATGTATCACCTGAAGCCTGGAGAGGGCAGCTGCTGTCCTTCCCCTGTGCAGATGTGGAGACCGAGTCTGGGGAGCCACGAACCTGGCTTTCAAAAGAGGTGGGGTCCAAGGCTGCTTCTGGCTCGGCCGCTGTCAAATACCTAGAGCCTGGGCTCCATGCTCAAAGCTTACTAGTAGGAGTAACAGCCATGTTGACGTTAACTAATGCAGACCCCACCTGGTTGTACCTCATTAGCCCCAGAGGCTCATCAGACACCTTTGGAGGAAGAGACTGTGATGGGCAAGGATGCCAGGCTGGGATTTTAACCTGGGACTATCAGGCATGAGGCTAGATGGGGAATTTGGCATTTGAGGTGACAGGTGCCCAGCCAGGTTGCCCTCCTTTTCTGAGATTCATCATGGAAGGTGTGGGGCAGAGGTTGTGGTGTCCAGGTGGCCTTGGAGCCAGGGGGTACTTCGGTTCAAGTCTAGCCCTGCCTCTGAGAGGGGTGAGCTCTGTGAACAAGGAAGTCACTTCCCAATCTGAGCCTGTTTCCCCAGATGATGGAGTCACAGCTTCACGGTCAGTTGTGAAGATGCTCAGGTTAATTCATCCAGGGAATATTTGCCAAGCACTTACTGTGAGCCTCGCCTGGTGCTGGTGCTGGGGACACACAACAGCCACCCAGACAGACCCAGCCCCCACAGGGGGCCCACAGTCCTGGGAAGTAGGGAGTCTGATGATAAACCACAAAGAAATGAACAATGAAATAAGTGAGAGACACCTACTTGAGAGGCCCCAGGGTTATGAATTACCCTTAACTAGCAGCTTTGGCTGATAGTCATGGAGGACCTCTTGGGTGGGTGACATTTGAGTTGAGGCCTGAAGGGTGAGAGGGAGTCTGCCCGCTACTGTCTGGGGGAAGGGTGCTCTGTGTCAAAGGCACGGCACAGGCTCAGGCCCTGGGGTGGGAAGGAGCAGCCGGGCTGAGGCTGCCAGGCGGCAGGGAGGAGGCTTTGGCCAGGAGATAGATCCGAACTTGGAGGGGGCGATGTTTGCTTTTCTTCTGGTGCCCCAGAGCTTTTTAGCAGAACTGACTTCAGGGTCACGCCTGGCCTTGGTTTCTCTAAGATCTCAGTGGGTCCTCTCCTGTCAGGTTGTGGACCGTGGGCTGCAGAAATCACTCGTGTTTGAGGACGATTTGCGCTTCGAGATCTTCTTCAAGAGGCGCCTGATGAACCTTATGCGGGATGTGGAGCGGGAGGATCTGGACTGGGACCTCATGTGAGTGGGGCCTGGGTGGGGCCAGAACTCAGCGGTGTGGCCTAGAGCCTCTAGGTCTGAGGGCCTTTGCAGGTTAATAGGGAGCTTGGCAGGAGGACTTATTCTTGCCCTGGAAGTCTAGGGACCTGGCAGAAGCTGCAGGCTCCTTCAGGCTCAGAGCCTGTAGGGGTGGAAAGTATAATTGAGATTTGACCAGGAAGCCTGTGGGCGTGGCTAAGGAATTTGGGGGCGTGGTCTGGGGTGGGTGTGGTCATGGCTTGGGAGCGAGGCCAGAAGCCTTGGGGCTTGATGGAGCTCAGACTCAGGACTGTGCTAGTAATATGAATAGTCCCTGCACCCCTTCCTTCCTGACCACTCGCCATATCCCCTCACCTTCCTGCCTGCCCCCCAGCTCTCAACCCACAGCAGCTTCCCTCTCAGCCCTGGTCTCCTGCCTGTGACCCAGCCTCAGAGAATGTCCAGGCATCCTGCCCTCCCCAGCTGCAGGATCCTGCCCACATCCTCCTGAGGGCCCTCAAAAAATCCACTCTCCTCCCTGCAGGCCCCCGACCCCTGTGGTCCTGCTGTTCCCTGGTCTAGTCACACCAGCCTCCTCATTGCTCCAGATCCCCGCGCGACCCCCCGACCAGGGCCTGACGGGCTCACTCCATCCCTGACTTTCTGGGTTAGCATTCTTGGGCGGGCGGGCAAGCGGAAGGAAGGTGACGGGCCCCCCATCCTGCACCCCAGTTACGTGGGCCGGAAGCGGATGCAGGTGGAGCACCCCGAGAAGGCTGTGCCCCACGTGAGGAACCTGGTAGAGGCTGACTACTCGTACTGGACACTGGCCTACGTGATCTCCCTGCAAGGCGCCCGCAAGCTGCTGGCCGCTGGGCCGCTCTCCAAGATGCTGCCTGTAGACGAATTCCTGCCTGTCATGTTCGACAAGCACCCAGTGTGAGCGGGGCTCGCGGGGGCAGGCGGGCTGGACTCTGGCTGTGTAGCTGTCCTGGGAGGAGGCGAGAGGCTCGCGGCTCCCTGGGAAGGTGTCTTTTCCTCTGCTCGCTTCTTCCTTCACGTGTCCCGCCGCCGCCCACTGCTGTCTCCATCTGTCCCTCCACCACCCACTTCTCCCTCCATCTGGCCCTTCCCCTGACCCACTGCTGCCCCCGCGCCCTCCTCCCCTGCAGGTCCGAGTACAAGGCCCACTTCTCTCCCCGCGACCTGCGTGCCTTCTCCGTGGAGCCCCTGCTCATCTACCCGACCCACTACACGGGGGACGATGGATACGTGAGCGACACGGAGACCTCGGTCGTGTGGAACAATGAGCATGTCAAGACCGACTGGGACCGGGCCAAATCGCAGAAGATGCGGGAGCAGCAGGCTCTGAGCCGCGAGGCCAAGAACTCAGATGTGCTCCAGTCCCCGCTGGACAGCGCTGCCCGGGACGAGCTCTGAGAGCTCTGAGGGGCGGTGGCCCAGAAGCCAAAGCAGCCATCACAGGCTGGCCAGGGACAGCGGGGCCCTTGTGGATCCCTGGCAGGCCGCAGAGGACTCCCCTTACAGGGCGGTATCCAGCCGGCTCTTGCTCAGCAGTCACCTGCACGCAGGCAGCATTAATGGAGCTCCTACTGTATGCCAGGAACAGGTGGACTGGGTGGGAACAATTCATCTCCTTGCGTGCCCTTGCTGTGTTCCGGCAGTGAATGAGGCATAATTATTCCCTCCATCAGTGATTGATCCAGTCATCACGCATTATTGATCCCCCATCAAGAATCAGGCATTAGCGATCCCCATTCACTGTTTGAATTCATTTGAGTATTTATTGAGTGCCTGCTGTATGCTGGGCACCATCCTGGGCTCTGGGAACATTGAGATCAAGTTTTTTCCATTTCTCCAAATACATATTGAGTACCCACTGTGCCTGGTACTCAAGACACAAAAGTTATTATTGACTCGGTGCACCTATGGAGTGCCTGCTGTGTGCTGGGAGCTGAGCTTGGTGCTAGAGATGAAGATAAACAAGGTGCTTTTTCACTCTTTAATTGGTTTCTCCCCACACACATCCAGAGAGCACCTCCTGTGTGCCGGGCCCTCGGGACACAAAATAGGATGACAGCTGTTCCATCAGCGTGTGATCACCCACAGGTGTGCTGGGCCGCAGAGATGAACTAGATGAGTCCTTTCACTTCTTCACGCAGTAAGCATTTATTGGGTGCCTACTGTGTGCCTGACCTCACGGACTCCTGGTGGGGTTGTCAGAATTGGATTCCTCATCCCCTGCCCCTTTCACACAAGCTGTGTGCAGACAACATCCCCAGAGGTGGCTCTTTCCTCCCCAGGGGCAGCCATGAGTTCCAGCAACCACATGTCCTTGTGTAAGCCCCCCTAGATCCAGCCCCCCTGGAGGGGGCGAGGGGTGAAGCTGGGGGCGGGGTCTCCCACGCTCACCTCTGGTCCCAGTTGCTTGACCGCCCTGCCCTGCATCTCAGGTGTGGTTTCTGCCTGCTTGATGGCTTTCCTCTGTCCAAGCTTCTGGTGGGATCATGTGTTTGGGGCTTGGTGTGGGCTGAGCTGCACTGGGGCACTACCCCCAGCCTGGGCAGGACATCCCTTGGAACAGGCTGGAGGACTCACTGTGCCTTCAGCCTGAAACGAATGTTGGAGCCGGCCAGCAGTGCTTCACTCTCTGAAGGATAACTGCTGTCCAGGTCTGGTCCTGGATAACTTGCTTATTTTTGTATTAAATGTTCCTGGTTGGTTTTCACGTACATCCGTGTTGTCTTCTTGGTCTGATGCTCTGCACACTGCTTGTGCCCTGCCTACACGCCCCTGCGTCCCCGCCCCATTCAGGCCAAGATGTGCAAGGAAACCAGGTGCTGGAGAGAAGCCAGCTGGTGGAGGGAGTGTGGGGTGAGGATGGAGTGACAGCCTAGTGTCCCAGCCTGCCCCATAAAACATCCCCAAAATAGCCCAGGGACGACAGATGGTCAGCCTCTATCCTGCGGGGTCAATTGCAGGATTGTCTCAGATGACAGAATGAGGAAAGGGGCTGCCATAGTTTGGAGTCCCCAGAAAACAGACCCCACGATGAGGGCTTCAGTGATCCAAGAAGCAACTCCAGGAAGCTCGGATGGGGGCGGGCCCATGTGGCAGAGGGAAGGCGCCCTGCAGGGGGCGCCAGTGAGCAATTAATGCCAACACGTGGGGACCTCCGGGGACAGCCTAGAGCACACACTTCAGAGTGGTCCCACCTCAGGGATGAGGGAGAGGGGCATTTATCTACTATGCCCAACAGCATTTGAATTTCCTGGGTCAAATACCTAAGATTCTCAGGATTCTTAAACCCTCAGGGTAAAATCTGAGGCTTTTACAAAATAACAGATGGTGTGTGATCCTTATGAAGAAATGAGAACAAACAGCTAAGCAAACCAGAAAAGCAAATTTAAATCCCACATCCTCAGAGACAACAACTCTTAACATTTTGGAAAAACCTTTCAGTCTGACCCATTTGCATGGTACAAATATATATACATGTTTTTAAAAGCAGATTCATGTTACGTAAACTCAGCTACAACATGCTTTTTTTTTTCTTCCACATAACACATTTAAATTTCATAAACGGATCAATATTGTACCTGTTTTTCCAGCAATTTTCTTTTTAAATTTAACACCGTATTGTGGACATCCTAATCCACGCAGATGGCTACCAGCTCTTTTTGGATCCTTACACACAATGTACCATAGTCAGGGTGGACTAGTGTTTACTTGACATTCCTGATTTAAGACTATCACAACCTGGCAGTGAACAACAGCATTGTGTATCTTTCCTACTGGAAGTTTTTATTTCAGTTGATACAGTTGCTACGGGTGGGATCACTGGGCTAACAGAAAGGCGCACTTGAAGTCTCAGTAGAGGCTGCCATATTTACTCTTCTTGTTAAACCCTAACTATCGATCATGTCTCTACCAGGGTGGATGATCTGAGTTTATTAACCAGTCCCCTCTCATAGAACATTGCAGTGCTTTCTCATGTGTCACAATTACATGTGATTTTCCCAAATCTTATTTTAACCTAGTGGATCTCAACTGGGGATGATTTTGTCCCTCCGGGACATTTGGCCATATCTGGAGACATTTCTGATTGTCACGAGGGAGTGGGCGCTACTGGCATCTAGTGGACAGACGCTAAACACCCTGCCGTGCACAGGGTGTCCCCGTAACAAAGAATGATCTGACCCCAAAAGTCCACAGTGCCAAGGTGGAAAATCCCTACACCCAATTCTCTAGAAGGGTCTTCTTTGTGGCATAAGGTGAAGTTTCCTTTGCTACGAAATGTTTCTGATTAAAACATAGATTCTCAGGCTCTACCTCCAGACAGAAGAAGCTTGGAGGTGGTACCCGGGGATCTGAGTTTTATTTCAATGCCCCCACCCAGTTATCTAACTCTGAGATCTCCTTTGTTCTCTGAACCTCTGGGAGGACCACTTCCTTCGTTCTAGAACATTCCTAGTGGAATGACTCCACAGAACAGAACTGGTGAGAATAGGGTGCTGCCTTTGCCTCCATCACTCCAACTGCTTTTTTTTCCCTTGGTGGGGGGAGGTAATTAGGTTTATATATTTTTAATTATTTTCTTTTAAATAATTAAAAACCCAGGACCTCATGCATGCTAAGCATGCGCTCTACCACTTGAGCTATACCCCACCACCACCACCACCACCACAATTGCTTTTCAGTGCCCTCCAGACTTGTGACTGAACAAGGGAATTTGGCTTCCAAGATTTCCGATGCTTCCATGCCCGGCTACTGGCAGACTTAAAAGGAAGCAAAACCAAGACAGCTCCAGTTCCTTCTGCCTTCCAAACTCCCCCGGGGCTCCCCGGGGCACCTCTGGCCGGTGGACCCGAGCACAAGCGCAGCTGCAGGGTCGTCTCAGAGCGTGGTTGCCACTTTGCAGCCTCTGTCCAGAAAGGGGTTGGGTAGGGGCAGGGCCAGACGTCAACCCACCACTCCCCTTCATTAATGACTCTACGTTGTGGTGTTGGTGAGAATGAGTGTGTAACTGCAGGGTGCATAATCACAGAAACCAGTCTGTGTAATTGCAGGGTTAGGAGCAGAGTAATTATAATGCAATATAACAAATTATGTAATGAAATGTGATCTTACAGAGATCATGAATCACAAAATTGTGTTACACCCTCCAGGAACTACATGTGCATCTTGTTGGTGTTCTCTGGGTGATCCTGCCATGCGGCAGGTGTCAAGATGAAGAGGCCTGGGTAAATGCGGGGTGGTATTATAGCAGTTGAAGGGAGGATGGGGTAAAAGCTGGGCTGGAGGATTCAGGCGACAATGGAGGATGGGATGGGCGTACGGATGGTGCTAGAATTTTGCCCAAGGTTGGGAGAAGTTGGGAGAAACAGGAGGGGAAATTGAAAGGAACTCCTTTGCCCTTTGCCTGCTTGCTATTTCTGTTCCCTTCTATCCTTGAAAGAATCTAATTATAGGAACGAGATCACTAGGCAAGTCAACCTAAGTCCTGACTTATGCTCTCCTGAGTGCACACTATTCAGGTTCCTAACCCATTGGTTCTTTCCCTAGATTGAAAGAAGTAAGAACGAAGAATTAAATAGTTAAAGGATGAGTAGCTCTCTAGCCCCAACAGCCCTCTTAGCAATCCGGCAGGCAGATCACATGGGCAAGATAACATCTGAAGAGAGAGCCAGCCAGTTTGCCTACAAGGGAGAATGATGCAGAGACCAACATCTTGCCTTGATGATTCACTGAGATTCTTCCCTGCCTTTTCCCTTTTAAAAACTGTCATGGCTGCGCAGAATCTTTGGAATTGGTCTCAGGATATGAGTCCACTTTCTACCCAGATTGCCAGCTTTTCTGATTAAAGTATCTTTCCTTTCTATTGACACTTGCCTCTCAATTATTGGCTTTTGAGAGGCGAGCAGCTGAACTTGAGTTTGCTAACACTACCTTGTTGACTGCCTGTCAAAATTTTTAAAACTGAAGTATAGTTGATTTACAATGTTGTATTAGTTTCAGGTGTACAGCCAAGTGATTCAGTTTGCTGTATATATATACACACATATACTTTTTCAGATTCTTTTCCATTATAGGTTATTGCAAGATATTGAATATAGTTCCCTCGGCTACCCAGTAAGTCCTGATTGTTTATCTATTTTATCTATAGTAGCATGTATCTGTTAATCCCAAACCCCTAGTTGACCCTTCTCCACCCCCTTTCATCTTATTTCTGATCTCAGATTGTGCTATATTATCATTCAGTCCCAATACATTTGTTTCAGCAGAAAAAGCAGACAAAAATGCTATAGGCTCAAAACCCAAAGCCTCATCATAAGCCTCAGGGTCAGGGCAGAAATTTGAAACCACGGGGAGTATGACCATATTTAGGGAACCTCCAAAATGGCCCCCAATCTTCTCTGACTGGTCTTCAAGCCCCTGTGTAGTCTCTTCCCCTTGATGTGGGCTGTACATAATGACTCCCTTCTACCCAATAGATTATGGCAAAAGTAATCAGAAACCACTTCCAAGATTAGGCTACAAGACTGGGAACTCTGTCTTCCTCTTTCTGATGAAACCAGCTGCCATGCTGTGAGCTGCCCTGTGGAGAAACTGAGGACAGCCCCCAGCTGACAGCCAGTGAAGAGAGCCATTCTGCCGACAACCACACGAGTGAACTGGGAGGCAGCTTCTCCCACAATTAAGCTTTTGCAGCTTTGGCCAACATTTTGATTGCAGCCAGCATGAGACTTTGAGGCAGAGCATGAGATGATAAATATTTGTTGTCCTAAATTGCTATGTTTGGGCAATTTGTTGCACAGCAATAGGTAACTAATACAGTAGCCATTCCAGTGTGGAGCAAGGACAATGAACATAGGTGACACTGGAAACTGTTTACCCAGGAGCCACCATTTTGCTTCATGGGCTGGGTAGCCTGGTGGGAGATGGGAACCAGCCCTAAAGGTGAGCCTTGATTGGTCTACACAGACTATGGTGACCCATCTCCCTTCTCAGTGATTGGTTTAGGTGTTTGCATGTGACCAAGTTTTGGCCCATGATTTGCAAAAGGGGACTTCTGGAAAACTTCACCTGATAAGAAGAAATGTAGATGGATGGAGTTTTGGAGCTTTGGCAGCCATCCTGGGACTGAGAAAAAGGCCAGTAGAGACAGAGAAAAGACAGTAAGCTCTGTCCAAACTTGGGCCTGCCTAGCTAGCCCTCCTTTTAAAGGTATGACTTGGTTTTGTTCATGTGGCTTCTGCGTACATCCTATTGGCTAGAGATTGTCACACGACTGCATGTAGCTGCAAGGGAGGCTGGGAAATGTAGCCTTTGTTTGGCTAGCTATGTCCACAAATAAAGCTTCTATTGTTATACTAAAGAAGGGATGAAAAAAGTGTTGAGGGGGAACTTTAACCAGCTGAGTGGTAACTAGCGGCCTTTATCACAAAAATATATATTGTGCATTATCAAATAAAGTTTAAGGTCACTGCCCACGGAAGCACCAGCTATTCATCATCATCACATACACTTACCCTACTCCCTGCTCCCACCTCCCCTGCTTTGCCCACTCCCCAAGACAACCACTGCCCTTGGTTTTGTGTTTCTCTTTTTTTCAATCCTCAATTTTTAAAATTGCATTAGATTACACATAACCTAAAATTTACCATCTTAACTATTTTTCAGTGTACATTTCAGTGGCATTAAATGTGTTCACCTTTTGTTACCACCATCACCACCATCCATCCCCATAACTCTTTTCATTTGTAAAACTGAAATTCTGTACCTATTAAATACTAACTCCCCCTTCCTCCTTCTCCCCAGCCCCTTAAAACCACCATTATACTTTCTGTCTCTATGATTTTGATTATTCTTGAGTACTTCATATAAAATGCAATCATACACTATTGGCCTTTTTGTGACTAACTGATTTCACTCAGTATAATGTCCTCAAGTTTCAGCCAACTGTAGCATATTGCAGAGTTTCTTTCCTTTTTAAGGCTGAATAATATTCCATTGAATGGACAGACCACATTTTGCTTACCCATTCTTCTGTTGAACACTCGGTTTTCTTCCATGTTTTGGCTATTGTGAATAATATTGCTATGAACATGGGTATACACATATCTTTTTGAGGCCCTGATTTCATTTCTTTGTGGCATATATCCAGTAGTGAAATTGCTGGATCATTTGGTCATTCTATTTTTAATTTTTGGAGGCACCTCCATATTGTTTTCCACAGCAGCCATACCATCTTACATTCTCACAAGTGATGCACAGGGGCTCCAATTTCTCCACATCTTCGCCAACACTTGTTTTCTGTTCTTTTAATAGTAGCCTGATGTGTGTGAGGTAGAATCTTTGAGTTTTTAATCCTTAATTTTGTGCTTTTTAAGAAATTAATCACACTTATATATCCTTACATGAAATCTCTGTAGGTGTATCTCGTATGACTTTTGAGCTTTATAAATATGGTATTTTGCTCTTTGCAGCTTTCTGGGACTTTCTTTTTTTTTCTTTTCTTCCTTCACTCAACATCATACTTTATTCATGACATCTGTCAGAATGAAGGACCTCACTTCATAGAGCACAGCAGAAGCCAGCCTGTCTCTAGTCTGTAGGTGTGGAGTCCACTGTGGGACTCAGTGGATCAGAGCAAGATGGTTTATTTCTTGCAGTGCAGCAAGCAGCATGAGCCTCAGTTCCCATGCCCTGTGGTTGACACCCCAGACCCCAAATGCTGAGGGACACAGGGCCAAGGGATGAGCACCTTTTGTAGAAAGCAGCAAGCAGATCAGTTTCCCTCTGTTGGGGATCAGTTACACAGAAGTCATGCTGTGCAGCCTATGTGCTTAGCTCTGGAAACTGCTCAGTCTCAGAAGAAAGACAGGTCTGCAGCCTGGCACAGTCAGCAAGGAAGTGCAGGGGTGCTCAGGGCCCCTGGTGGGCTGCATCTTCTTAGCCATGCAGACGCCTGTGGTTTATCCATTCCACAGCTGTAGAATAGTCCCCCCATAAGAAGATACCTTGACACTGAGGCTGCTTCCAGCCTTGCCCACATGTGAGAGTCTCCTGAGGGCAGAGTTGCTGAGTTATGGGTTACCCCTGTGGTTTACCCACTTTTTCTTCTACTTTGAACTCTTTTGGCTGTTACTTGCAGCCCAAAGCACTCATCTAATTCACTTCCTGTGGGGGATCCCACTGCCCCTGCCCTGGCCGCTCAAGTGTAGAAACAACTTCAGATCTTAGGAGGTGTAACACTGAATTTTTACTGAGGAATGAAGCTGAGTGAGATTTCATTTCTGCTCCCTGGTGGGATGGGGGCTCAAAAGAGAAGTCAGCTTCAGCTGGAGAAAAATGGAGCTTCATTCTTTGCACAGCCAAAATGATGAAATGAGATTTTCACCTGCCACATCAAAAACACGAAACAAAACCCCCAGACAAATATCGGGGTGGGGGTTGAATTTGAGAGTGGGTCCCTGGCAGTTGTGTCCTAACTTGCTTGAACTAAGAGCAACAGCTACCCAGTATCCTGGGTTCGGATCTTGGCCCTGCCTCTTCTGAAATATTTCATCTCTCTGAGACTGTTTTCCTTCTCTGTAAAATGGGAGCATAGTTGTGAAGGAGTTGCACTCCTGGGTGGGAGGGATGTTCAACCAGCGGCTGCTCATAGCGGAGAGTTTTTTGTTTTTCCAATATGGGAACGCAAGGAGGCCACTGTGCTTCCAAGGCTATGTACTTTTTCTTTTCTTTTTTTTTAATGTCTGCTGTTAATAAAATATTTTTACAGAGACCAAAAAGTCAGAATAGTGCAAAACATCTCAACACCATGCATTCATGACCACTTCTCGTTGGTTTTAAACATTTGTTCCAAGTCACATATTTACAGAGAAATGGGGGCATCTGTAGATGCCAGACTGACGGGATGGAATTAAAACAAACAAACAAACAAACAAACAGCATTTTGTTTTCACATTTGCAGTCACATGCTAAGAGAAGGTGTATGGAGGAAGAACCTCCCTGGACTGTGTGGCCAGGTTTGGGGTCTCATGGGGCAGGGGCCAAAGGTGGGGTCTGAATCCCCTTGGCTGTGTGGCCAGGGAGGCATGGGGACCCTCCGCCCATGACCTGTGCCTCGAGAGTCACTATGGCTAGGAAGGGGTAGGGGGCAGGGGAATGGAGGGGAGTCTTACTTGACACCATCAACTTGATTTGTCTCTTTAAAAAAATAAAAGGCAAAGAAAAAAGCAATGTGTGTCAGCAAAAACGACTTTGGTCCTTGACAATTCTTAGGAAAAGATATTCAGGTGACAGCAGGGGTCACGATGTGGACCAGCTCTCCCCAGCCAGGGGTGCTCCCCTCCCTGTCTACCTGAGCAGCAGAGGTGGGGTGACTCCTGGCTGTCTCCATTCTGCCCTGTGCCTCAGTGTCCCCATCTGCAAGATGGACAGTGCAGGGAGTTGGGGCTGGAAAGGTCTCTGAGGTCTCAGCCGAGAGAGGTCCCAAGGATTTCTGGTTAGGTGTTTTTTTTGCATCTCTGATGGGGGCACGGTGAGGTTACAGGCTGTGCTGCCTAAGAGTCAGAGGGATTGGGGGACGCGGCTGGGCACCTCCTCATTTTAGGTAAATCCTTCGAGGATACACTGATGGGAGCCAGACAGAACAGAGTGGGGTGTCCTTCTTCCTTCTAGATCCCCGTTTTTGCTTTTTCTTCCATGTCTCTGCATCTCTGCATCTCTGAGTCTCTCCATGTCAAAATTCTGGCTGTCTCCACCTGGGCGTGATTTTACCCTCTTAATTCCCTTCCTTGTGTGTGTGTCTCTCTCCTTCCCTCTCTCCTCTTCTTTCTTTGCATCCTTACTCTGTGTCTCTGTCCCTCTCAAGAGGGGGATTGGCTCTGTCCAAGAAGTTCTTCAGTGTCACCCTACCACATCCCACTATGGGCCTCTTTTGTCCTTTCCCTGATCCATGGAAATCTGGGGCAAGCTCCTGGCATGAAGTGAGGGGAAGTGGTGAAACCCAAATGTACCATCCAATGCTGAGTGGCCTTGGAGAAAGCCCTGCTCATCTCTGAGCCTAGTTGTTCCAATACAGGAACATACCGATTTCAACACCTCCAGTCCCCTCTCACCCTCTCATCATTCTGTGTCCTGTGGCTCAGCCACAGTCTGGCTTAAACACCTCCTCTGTGCCCAGATCTGTATGGGAGGGGAAGGTATGCACAGACACACATAGAGCCCACCACACCACCAATCCAAGACATAATTCAACTAGGCAAACCCTCCCCGCCATTCCCCTGTACTCAGCCTGTGCTGGATGAACTCAGGGCTCTTGAGAGGCTTCAGACCTCCACGTGGGGGGAAGCAGAGCCTTTCACAGACACTCCCAGCCCTATGGCATCAGAGACAGAGGCTAGGAAAGTCCTGAGGGGGATCAGAGGTTTGCTGCAGCAGGGAATATTTGTGATGAGTTCTGAGGAATGAGTAGGATTTCTTAGGGGGAAAGAAGAGGGAGGAAATTTCCAAAACAGTCCTAGCCTGGGAGTCAGAGAAAGTCATTTGACAAATATTCCGAGGTTCCTTCCATGTGCCTGGCCCAGTGCTGGGAACCCTACACACACACACACACACACACACACACACACACACACACGCACGCACGCACGCACTCACCCCTAGAATTTCTGGTCTCTTTCTGTCTCCTTTCCTGACTGGAGCATTCTGGGGGAGGAAGAAGGGGTTGGGGTAGGGGACTGGGTCCAGGGAATGTCAAATCTTCATTCTTTTTTGGCAGGAAGTCAAGAGTTCTCAGGGTATCTTCCCCTGGGGTCCCATCAGAAAGGGCTGAGGGCAGAGGCTTTGCTTGGCAGCCAAAGGTGGGAGGGGGCACTGGGGGTCTTGGCCCAGGACCCCCATCCCTTTAAGGACTGGGGGAGGTCCCCTGAGGGGAGTTAGCAGCAATGGGGAGCTGTATCAGGTCATCTGATCTCAGCCCACCCTTCAATGGGGCACACAGGCCAAAGGAAGTAGGGAGAGGATGTGGCACTGGGACCCTCAGCATTGTCTCAAGCAGCTCTCTGGGCCTCAGTTTTGCCATCTGTCAAGTGGGTGGGTTGAACTCTATGATATGAGGACTGGGTATGTGTGAGGAAAAGGGAAAGCAACCCCCCATAGGGAAGTGGGGGCAGTGCAAGTGCCCCAGAGCCGCCCCTTTGGCCCCCAGGGTTTGGGCGCCCGAGGGCGCATGTGCTTTTGAAATCCCATCCTACTCCCCCTCCCCGTTTCTTTTTTGCACAAACATCAGAAGGGGCTCCGGTTCACCCGGAGGCCCTCCAACCACCACCTTAGTCCCTCTAGCCCCGAGACCACCCCAGGGGGCGCTCCAGGAAGCCCTGCCCCTTGCTCAGGGCCCGCCCCTCGAGGGAGCTGAGAGATCCATACTTGGCAAATTGGTCTTGGGTCCCCGGGGTTGGGGACCCATCTTATGGCTTTTCCAGAGGGCAGGAAGCGGGGCCTACCGGTACCACAGCCCTGGGATCTGGCCTCCTCTATAGGGGGCGGGTTTTCCTCCCATCCGAGCTTGAAAGGTCCCCCACCAGACACTGGGGGCGTGGCCTCAAGTAGGGGATGTGGCTCCTTCCTTCCTCGCGCCCTAGGGCGTGGCATCCTGAGGGGGGTGGGCGTTGCCATTCACATTTCTCCAGAGGGTGAAG